TCTTTCCCTCTCTCTCCCTCTCTCTCCTTGTTTAGTGGCTGACAAAGCTGCCTACCTGATGGGTCTGAACTCAGCCGACATGCTCAAAGCCATGTGTTATCCCCGAGTCAAGGTTGGGAATGAATTTGTTACCAAAGGTCAAACTGTGGAACAGGTAAAAAGAGTGTAAAATACATGACTTGAATGAAGACTTGAGCATTCCTCTTTTATCCTAAATGGTAACCTTTCTTCTTTGCTTAGGTGAACAATGCAGTTGGTGCCCTGGCAAAAGCTGTCTATGAGAAGATGTTCTTGTGGATGGTCATTCGTATCAACCAGCAACTGGATACCAAACAACCCAGACAGTACTTCATTGGTGTCCTGGACATTGCTGGCTTTGAAATCTTTGATGTAAGGAACAAGGATTTGGCATTACTTTCATGGGAGGGGTCATCAGACACATGTTTCTTTTTATGAAGCTTCAGAAATATATCCTCATCATCTGCAGTTTTCTGGAACCCTTTGTTGCTTCTCCTTAGATACAGCATTGGCCCTCCAAGGGCTTCACTTAGAAACACATTGATCGTAATGTTTTCAATAGATAGAAGAAAGCACTGCCTTCCGACAAAAGATTTCAGAGGCCCTTGAGCATGCAAAAGGTCTTGGGCATCACACAATAAAGTGACAGACCTAGGACTAAGGCTCACATAGGGCTGGGCCAAAGGTGTGGGCATTCTTGGAAAAGCCAAGAAATGGTTGTGCTGTGCGAAAAAGCAGAGCATATTTCCCATGTTGTGAATGCAGTGGTGCTAAGACTTCTAGGTCAGAGCAAAGAAAGCCCCAGACTGTTCATCTGAGGGCTGAGAAATTCTTGGGCAGGACAGTGAGGAAGTCTCCATTGTCCAGATGGTAAGAAAGCTGCAACATCTCGATGTCACTGCAGCTAACGTTACTGAACTGTTTAGCTTATGAGTAGCACAGCAAAGAAGACATTCTACTTTTAGGTTGATTTCAAAAGGTAACAATAACAAAAATCCCTTGAGGACACTAAATTTTACAACAGAAATTCTGCTAAGGAAGCACACAACATTAAAATACAGTAAGGTGTGATATTTCAATTGGGGAACTCCAGAATTAGGACATTACTGTCAAAACTGTGACCATTGCAACACCTTGAGAATCTGTGCACCTTTCTTTGTGTTGTACAGTTCAACAGCTTTGAGCAGCTCTGCATCAACTTCACCAATGAGAAACTGCAACAGTTCTTCAACCACCACATGTTTGTACTGGAGCAGGAGGAGTACAAGAAGGAAGGAATTGAATGGACTTTCATTGACTTTGGGATGGACCTGGCTGCTTGCATTGAACTCATTGAGAAGGTACCTACTCCATCCAAGTATATGATGCACTGTGAATTTTGTGATGTTTGTGGGCCATATTCAGTTGACAAAGAAATCTTTCACACTCGCACACAGCTAAACAAAGTATCCTGTCTTGAAATTTATTTTATCTTGAGGTAGGAAAATTCGGAAGGCCATACACAAATCTGTATCATCAGTACTCCGTTTTCCTGTCTTCAAGCATGGAACCGGTAGTCTGAACTCCCAGTAAGAGAATTTTTTAAAACATACTCCAGTCAGTTTCCTTTCCCTTTTCCTCCAAAGATTCAAATAAAAACTCCACATATATTTGCAAAATAAATATCTTTTAGACTAATTTTCCAAAACAGTGCGTCTCTAGCAGTTTTTCTTCCACCTGTGTTTCTGACTACCACTTCTGACTCTGCCCCTGGCTCTAACTAGAACTGGACCAATGTTCTTACCAGTTCTGTGAAGACAGGCTGCTGGAAGTGAAGGGAAGGCTCAAATAAGTTCTCTGACTGAGAACAAACCCTGACAAACCTAGGCCCTTATCCATTCTGAGATGCTATCAATAGTGCACAGGTAACCCTGATGATCATGGCATAGGCCTCACACCACTGTAATCTTTCTCTGTCACTTCTTGTGATGTCTTCCAGCCCATGGGCATCTTCTCCATCCTGGAAGAGGAGTGCATGTTCCCCAAGGCAACTGACACCTCTTTCAAGAACAAGCTCTATGACCAGCATCTGGGCAAGTCCAGCAACTTCCAGAAGCCCAAGCCTGCCAAAGGCAAGGCTGAGGCTCACTTCTCCCTGGTGCACTATGCTGGCACAGTGGACTACAACATCTCTGGCTGGCTTGAGAAGAACAAGGACCCCCTGAATGAAACTGTCATTGGCCTATATCAGAAATCACCTGTGAAGACACTGGCCTTACTCTTTGCTACCTATGGTGGAGAAGCAGGTAAGCTCTTTAAAATCCGTATGTACCATCTGTTCATAATATACAAAGGGGATGCTCAAAGGCAATGTTATAAATGTCTGTCCCATTCCTTCAATTTTGCAGAGGGTGGTGGTGGCAAGAAGGGTGGTAAGAAGAAGGGTTCCTCCTTCCAGACAGTCTCAGCTCTTTTCCGGGTAGGTACAGAATTCATTTTCTCATAAACAAGAATGCCCACTGAAATACCAGAAGTAGAAAAATACCCACGAGATGGAAACCTTATAATTCTGTGAGCAGATTCTGATGCATACTTAATGAAGGATCTTTAAACCAATAAACAAGGCATACTGCTATGTCAATAGACTGAAAAACTCAATATTATATGTGAAATATTAAGAATTAAAGTGCATACAAATTGTAATTTAACTTTACCTCATGATCTCACAGGAGAATTTGAACAAGCTGATGACAAATCTGCGGAGCACTCACCCCCATTTTGTACGCTGCATCATCCCAAATGAAACAAAAACACCTGGTAAGGGGATAAAACTGGAGGAAAACTTGAGCCACAGGAGCTCTTCTCCAGAGTACCAAACAATGGGGTAGTCATTAATGGTGTTGCTTGTTAGGTGCCATGGAACATGAGCTGGTGCTGCACCAGCTGCGGTGCAATGGTGTGCTGGAAGGGATCAGAATTTGCAGGAAAGGATTCCCCAGCAGAGTCCTCTATGCCGACTTCAAACAGAGGTAAGAGCACTCCACCATTTGCCCATTCTGCCTAAGCTGAACAGCCTGAGCATCCTAGCACACTGGGAACATTATATTTTAAACTGGTACTGAGCAGTAACATAAAAATGTTTTCACTATCATTTCATGATGATATAATATTGCTGAGGATCAAGATTACTATGGATTCTGATTTAACAGTATGGAAAATTTCTACACACTGCCCTGAAAGAATGGTCTGTTCCCAGGCATGTGATTGCTTCAGTCAGACAGTCTGAGAAGGTGGTGGGCTTCAGACACAGCGGTGGTCGGGGTGATGGGGATTTATTCATGTTCTGTTTTCTCCTACAGGTACAGGGTGCTAAATGCAAGTGCTATCCCAGAGGGACAGTTCATAGATAGCAAGAAGGCTTCAGAGAAGCTCCTTGGGTCCATTGATGTGGATCACACCCAGTACAGATTTGGTCATACTAAGGTAGAAACAACTTCTGAGTTCAAAAACTCTGGCCCTGTGTTTGGCAGTATCTGAGACTGATGTGCTACAATGTTCCCTTTCTCAAGGTGTTCTTCAAAGCTGGGCTAATAGGTCTTCTGGAGGAGATGAGAGATGAGAAGCTAGCAGAGATTATGACCATGACACAGGCCAGGTGCAGGGGCTTCCTGATGAGAGTGGAGTACCGGAGAATGGTGGAGAGGAGGTACACATTTCTCACCTTTAATTTTTTCTCATGGTACTTGTCTAATTGAGTCTCAATTCATCATGCTCAAGGTATGTAACAGGCATATGAATTGTATTTCAGGGATTCCATCTTCTGCATCCAGTACAATGTTCGTGCATTCATGAACGTCAAGCACTGGCCCTGGATGAAACTGTTCTTCAAAATCAAGCCCTTGCTGAAGAGCGCAGAATCAGAGAAGGAGATGGCCAACATGAAACAAGAATTTGAGAAAACCAAGGAAGAGCTTGCAAAGTCTGAGGCAAAGAGGAAGGAACTGGAGGAGAAAATGGTCACCTTGCTGCAGGAGAAAAATGACCTGCAGCTCCAAGTGCAGGCTGTGAGTATCGCCGTTTATTTGTCCATGGGAACAGGAGTTTGCATGGTCACATTATTCTCTGGCAAGCACAGACTTAAAAACAAAACTCCGTTTTGTCTGAGGACAACACACTTATGTAACTCTTTGAAAAGGGAAGAACTCTCCAGTACCTGCTGTGATTTTATGGGAGAAATAAATTCTTCTTCCTCCAAGAAATTATTAAATACCACCAGATGCAGCATGACTTAAGAAACTAAAGCTAAGCTACATTGTTTAAGCTGACAAAAGAGAAGAAAGCCCTCCAAGAGGCCCACCAGCAGACACTGGATGACCTGCAGGCAGAAGAGGACAAAGTCAATACGCTGACCAAAGCTAAAACCAAGCTGGAGCAGCAAGTGGATGATGTAAGCACACACACATCCAGTAAAAACAGTTATGGAGTTAGGCCTGGCTGGCAGAGCATTCACGGCCTTGTTCTGTTTAGCTCGAAGGGTCCCTGGAGCAAGAGAAGAAACTGCGCATGGACCTTGAGCGAGCCAAGAGGAAACTCGAGGGAGACCTGAAGCTGGCCCATGACACCATAATGGACTTGGAAAACGACAAGCAGCAGCTGGATGAGAAACTGAAGAAGTAAGTGTGGTTGTGGGGCACCTTTGCACTGTGCAGGTGCACATATGCTTTCCGTTGGGCTCTAACAAACAAAGTTTTGCTTTGTGCAAAGGAAAGACTTTGAAATCAGCCAGATCCAGAGCAAGATCGAGGATGAGCAAGCCCTGGGCATGCAATCGCAGAAGAAGATCAAGGAGCTGCAGGCAAGTCTTTGTTCCAACCCTTCTCTCACAGGCCTCGACAGAGGCCAGGTAGGAGCAGGGCATGGGTGTGAACGGTGCCTAATGTTCCCCAGGCCCGTATTGAGGAACTGGAGGAGGAAATCGAGGCCGAGCGGACCTCTCGGGCCAAAGCAGAGAAGCATCGGGCTGACCTCTCCAGGGAGCTAGAGGAGATCAGTGAGCGCCTGGAAGAAGCAGGGGGGGCCACGGCAGCTCAGATCGAGATGAACAAGAAGCGTGAGGCAGAATTTCAGAAGATGCGCCGGGACCTTGAAGAGGCCACTCTGCAGCATGAAGCCACAGCCGCCGCCTTGCGGAAGAAGCATGCGGACAGCACAGCTGAGCTTGGGGAGCAGATAGACAACCTTCAGCGTGTCAAGCAGAAGCTGGAGAAGGAGAAGAGTGAGCTGAAGATGGAGATTGACGACTTGGCCAGTAACATGGAGTCTGTCTCCAAAGCCAAGGTATGGAATTGCAGATGTTCTTATGCTCTCAGGCACATGGTATGACATACAGGCTGAATCTACTAACCACATTCTCATCTACTAACCACATTCTCATACAAGACCTCAGTGTATCCAACTTTCTTCCCTTCCATGTATTTGATGCCTAGGCAAACCTGGAGAAGATGTGCCGCACCCTGGAAGACCAGCTAAGTGAGATTAAGACAAAGGAGGAGCAGAATCAGCGCATGATCAATGACCTCAATACACAAAGAGCTCGTCTGCAGACAGAAGCAGGTGAGACATTCCCATTCCTGATGTGCAATGGGAGAACCTGCAAGTCCTGACGACGCCACAGGGTTCGAAGTGATTAATGGTTTGCCTTCTCTTCCACTCCAACACAGACAGGTTTACAGGCACAAATTGTCATACTATTGCTAGTATAATAGCATTCTTCCCTGTTTGTTTTACACTTCCTAGGTGAATATTCACGCCAGGTGGAGGAAAAAGATGCATTGATTTCTCAGCTGTCTAGAGGCAAGCAGGGATTTACTCAACAGATTGAGGAACTGAAGAGACATCTAGAGGAGGAAATAAAGGTGACCATATTTCCTGTAAAAAGCTTCTCCTTAGAGGCAGAGTTCTGTTTTAGGGAACTTTTCCCTAAAGCCTTGCAGTGCATGACGGAGTACATGATAAACATAGCCCACCTAATCATCACGTGTTCTCTACTCTAGAGGAAGTAATGTACAATGCTTTGATGCAATTTGTGATACTTTCTAGATAGAACTGTAGAACACTTATAAAAGCAACAGATTCATTCCCACCTTTCACTAACACAAGCTGATTCCCTAGAACACATTTAGGAAGGATCCATCAGCTCCCAGCTTTACCCTTCTCTGTGAGAATTTACCCATCCCTTCCCCTAGGGCAATATTCAGCTGCCTGACAATTTCACTGTCAAGAAGCATCTCAAAATATGTATTGAAGTTACCAATCCTAATGTCCCCACAGGCCAAGAATGCCCTGGCCCACGCCTTGCAGTCTGCACGCCATGACTGTGACTTGCTCCGGGAACAATATGAAGAGGAGCAGGAAGCCAAGGGTGAGCTGCAGCGTGCCTTGTCCAAGGCCAACAGTGAAGTGGCCCAGTGGAGAACCAAATACGAAACGGATGCTATTCAGCGCACGGAGGAACTGGAGGAGGCCAAGTATGTGGGAACTGGGATGTGGAGCAGCTGGAGGGGACTGAGACTGTCAAGGCAAACACGAAGGAGTCGCTGAGACTGGATTAGGGTATAAGTGGGTAAAAGCAGCAATATACACTTTAGGGTACAGTAGCGAGAGAGAGTATGCTATGGGGCAAGCATGGCTTGGAAAAGCAAATGTACCCATTCATGTTTAAAAGGCTAACACAGGCCAAATACTCAGTAGGAGCTAGGACACAGAACAGATAGATTGATTGGGCAGCATGCAATCTTGGAACAGAATAACTGTTGTGAAAAGCACTGGGGTCAAAGACCGCAAAGTGGCCAAATGCCCATGAGCTTCCCTATAACCCCTAACCTGGAGCTCTGCTTATCACCTCCCAGGAAGAAGCTGGCACAACGTCTACAAGATGCAGAGGAACACGTTGAGGCCGTGAACGCCAAATGCGCTTCCCTGGAAAAGACAAAGCAGCGGCTGCAGAATGAAGTGGAGGACCTGATGATCGACGTGGAAAGAGCAAACGCTGCTTGCGCAGCTCTGGACAAGAAGCAGAAGAACTTTGACAAGGTAACCTGGGCTCCCGCCCTGTGGTCTGGGGACGGGGCATCCCCTCATGACTGCCACGTCCATACTCAGGCCCTGTTGCTCTTCAGATCCTGGCAGAGTGGAAGCAGAAGTATGAGGAAACGCAGGCTGAGCTGGAAGCCTCCCAGAAGGAGTCGCGCTCCCTCAGCACGGAGCTGTTTAAGATGAAGAATGCCTATGAGGAGTCCTTGGACCACCTGGAAACGCTGAAGCGTGAGAACAAGAACTTGCAGCGTAAGTCCCGGGCGCTCTGCTCCTGACTGGGCTTTCCCACAAGCCTGTCTGTCCACCACCCCACATGGGTCCCTGCCCGCAGTGCTGCGAGGGTGCGAGTCACCGTGGGGCGGCAGGGCCTTTCCCCTCCTGCTCAATGCCTGACCCTGCCATTTGTCTCTGTCCCTACAGAGGAGATTGCTGACCTCACGGAGCAGATTGCAGAGGGAGGAAAGGCCATTCATGAGCTGGAGAAAGTGAAGAAGCAGGTTGAGCAGGAGAAATCTGAAATCCAGGCTGCTCTGGAGGAAGCTGAGGTACACGGCCGTAATCACTGGTGTCCACACTAAAAATACGAGCAGCGGGGAAATTTGGCTACGAAATGTGTGGTTCTCCTCTACCCTGGCTATGGAGCGTAGCCAGCTCAGATTTCCTGACGCACTATGTGAGAGAGCACTTGGCAGGTAAGCAGTAGATTGAGTCACGGGATAACTCTCCCCATCCATTCTTCCAGGCCTCCCTGGAACATGAAGAAGGGAAGATCCTGCGCCTCCAGCTGGAGCTGAACCAGGTGAAGTCTGAGATTGACCGCAAGATAGCAGAAAAAGATGAGGAAATCGACCAGCTGAAGAGAAACCACCTCAGAATTGTGGAGTCCATGCAGAGCACCTTGGATGCAGAGATCAGGAGCAGGGATGAAGG